TGAGTTATTGTCACCTTTGATGGTATTCTGTTTCTGGTCAGCCACCCCTGGATTCAACTTTAACTGGTGACACTTGGACTTTACAGTTATACTCCCTCCATGGGCTTCCATATACTGTTCTGCTAGCTTGTTCATCTCGTCCACATCTTTTGGTTCTCTCTCCTTTACGAACAGTGACATCGCAGTTGAGAAAGTGATCTTTGAGCCCAAGTTGTCTTCCCTTCTCTATTCATTTATCAAAAGCAACCGACATGGTACACTATTTTAACCACCACTATAGTTGTGCATATTCAGGCCTATTTCCACTGTTGCTCACGTTTTCTTCTACTGCCGTTTACCACTGTATAATCCTGGCTGACTCATCAATGTGGGTTTTTGTGGGTCTGATTCTTAACAGTAGGTGTCTGTGATTTGTTAGCAAGGAATTTAAACAATAAATGGATAGCACACAATCCACTTGTTTCAAATAATATATTCAAAACAAGTCAAACATATTGTTACGTCTCTAGTCATTTGTTAATTTTCCGTAAAAATTCTTTCTGAAGAAACTTTAGCGATACAGGTCCTTTCTTAAATAAAACTAGTTTATTTTTCCCTGGATACAACTTTGCAATACACTTAATTTCCACAGTCACTTTAAACACACGCTATAATTCCCAATGATTCACGCTCTTACTTACAGTCACTACCGCGCTTGACTCAATTGTCCATCTCTATCTCTACCTGTCTGCAATTCAATTCCAATTAATTTGTTTCATGTTATCTGGTGCACTTATATACAGGAATAGAGGGTGCCTAGCACATACTGTATTATTCGTGATGTTCCCCAATCCTTCTAGAATATCATGACGTGTTACAAGAATCACGTGACTACTGCTGTCGTAACAATATGTACAAAATTTGTTACACTATTGGTTAACACAGTTGTGTCCAGAGCTTTGAATAATTGTCCCTTTTTTGTCAAAGTCCACACATTTTTATTTATTATTAAAGTAGCAGCTAAAATGTAAAAATTAGCCACTTATTAGGTAAGGTATTTAAAAAAATAATAATAATAAAAATTATTCACAAAATATGTTCATAAGCAGCTCATGCATTACATAATTCAATATGGTAACATGAGCTACTCCTTCACCAAGTGATTTACAACTTGAGTGGCAGGATTATTAGTTAGGACATGGTTTAAAGGGTAATAAAACAATAAAATTTACTATAAAAAGATGTAGACTTTTACAAGCCTTCAGCTATTTAAAAAAAAACAATTGCAGTTTTCTGTTATCTTTTGCAGTTATTCTAGAAAGAAAAAACGTGCAATTTAGATATATTTCTTAGTTTTTTTTATGGTTGTTAGTGGTTGGTCAAATTGACTTAGTCTGAATACAGTTATGGTAGAGACAATAAGAGATATTTATTTAGAAGGTTTTAGAGGTTATGCAAATTAAATTTGAAAATTTTCAATGAAAGAAAGTATTTTTAACCTTAACATAGAAAACACTTTGCACTCAGAGCAATCAACACTCTGACTCCATAAATTCATGGACAAATCTTTAGTAAATATATTTAATTTAAAAAATCTGATTTTTTTTTGTACAAAGGACTTGAAATGTTCACAAAACCTTGCCAAATTTAGTGAAGAGATACAAAGAATTATAAAAAGTTAGAGTATTGAACTCTGATGATTACTTTGTGGTTACAAGGTCAGTTATATCAACCAACTCAACATGGAAAGAGTAAAAGAAAAACAGGTCAAAATCCCTGTAATGAAAACAGAAGCACCTGGTCAGCATTTTGGTCAAACTACAAAGGTCAGCTGGTTGAAATGTTAACTCTTCTTCAATGGGAGCCCCATTAAACGGTTTTTTGTGCAAGTCACTGGGTTAGATTCAAAATTTAATTAATTACCTTTAATATCAATGTATGTGAATGAATTTAATATTATAATGTGTGTTATGATTCGAAGTTTTATTTTATCCAAGTTTTAAGTCCTTTGTTACAAAATTAACCTTTAAAAACCTAATTAAAACTTCAGATGTATTGTCACGTGATCAATGAGCTATGGAAAATCTCTACTTTGGCTCTCTGTATCTTCAATAATACAATGGTAATAGAGTAGAAGTATGTCTAGTCACTTTCATAACCTTTTAATTCATTCCTTTCAAAGTACTCTGAATGAATACAGTTAAAACAAGAAATATTTTTTTTCAAACCCTGACAGCTGCCATGCCCACCTTCAACAGATAATCCTTTCTGTTAACACTGTCACAAACTCTGACACATTTTCAGGAAACTCTTCATAAGGTCGGCGTCCT